TCCCGCGTTATTCACCAAAACGTCTAACTTCTTGAACGCACTGATCGTGGAATCGATGAGTCGTTTGCAGTCATCGTTTTTGCTGACATCTGCCACCACTTCAAGAGGTTTGAGACCTTTGGGCGAAACTTTAGCGCATTGTTTGGCCACATCTGACACTTTCTGAGCGTCCCTTCCGGTCACCACTACCTGAGCCCCATATCGGGCGAACTCGACGGCGGCTACGGCTCCGATACCACCGCTGGAACCGGTGATCAGCACTACTTTCCCATTGAAATCTTTTGATGTAGACATAGCTAGCAATGAATTAAGGTTTTATTAATTCTCTGAACAAATTACTATTGAATCTAATATTGAGACTCGTACTGAACTCAAGTGAAAGTGATTTCAATGAAAACCTGGTTTATATAGCCGTGTATTTCAGTATAAACCAAACAAATCAAGTATTTTGTGTACTTATAGATTATGCACTAACGGTATTATACAGAATAAACCTCATATATCTATAATTTGTTGAATGAATATAGCACTAATATAAACTGAACTAACCAAGGTCAATCCTTGATAATATTCACAATACTAGTCTAGCATTACAATTTACTTAGTGCATAAATTATGCAGTATTATAAGTTATTGTAATCTAAACAGCATTGATAATGTACTCAACCATAAGAATGGATTTGAGGGTAAAACGAGACAAAATATAAATCTAGTTAACAAGTTAAGAACTTTAAAGTTTAACTAGTAACATGATATATAATACTTGTTTAAAAATTATTTGTTTTCATAATCAAAATTAAATGGTTTCAATTAATGTTAAATTTATACACTAACTGTTAAAAGTATAGTAATATTCAAATATGTTCAAAAAGTTATTTTTATTAATAAAAATGTAGGTACAAAATAAGAACTAGTTAAAAAATATAAATATACAATGGTTTATTTTAGAATAGGATTCATGCAATTTGTAAAAGAAAAAAGTAAACTCTAACTGTATGTTTGTTTTAAGTTTAAATATTATTTTGATATTTTTATCGGCTCCAATGTCCAATGTTCAATGGATATATCCAATGTACAATATATAAATATTATATAATACAGTAGAAAATGATCCTGAACATACAGTATAATTATAAAGTTTTAAATTCAAAAATATAAGATTGTATCTGTTATTGTAACATAATGTATAGACTGAACACTTTAGAAATTGGGTTTAAAAGGTGTTCCATATCCCTGGTATGGGAAAGGAAGGCTTACAAAGGGTGAGGTGTAGAGGTTGGCAGACAATGACAATGACAATGACAATGACCAAGACCAATTTACCACAACATTTAATAGTTATAAATATATGTGAATAATTTTTTTGCAAAAGTGTTGAATTGGTGTTGAATCCTATGATAACGTTATTAATGAATAGTTTTGTAAACAAGTGGTGAATGAATCGATAGATTGAGTGTTTGTTGTGATAGTTGTGTGACTTCGAGGACCAGTTGTGGTGATGTCTGGAGGGATGTCTGTGTCGTGCGAAGTGTCGGACGCAGTGGTGATGTCTTCGGCGATGGATGCGTTGAGAGATGAGAATAAACGACTGAAAAGTGATTTAAATTATTACCAGAAATGCAGTGAATTGTATGAAAACTATAGAAAATGTTTGTTATATTTCGACAACAATTGCGTTTGTATTCAAAACAAAGACTTTTATTTCGTTATCGAAAGCCTCGAAATGCAATACAAAACACTCCTCAGACAAGACATGCAATTCACGTATCAATTGATCCAAAACCACACCAAAACACTAACGCCTCAACCCTTCGCCACCACTTCCGCCGCCAAAGACACGAAAGCCATGCAATTGGACGACACGTCCAATGAGGACACCAGTGATCAGACATCGGATGACGAGGACATCGGTTGTGATAAACAAAACAATACTCGGAATGAGTTGAACGCCAAACAGACGAGACATTCGGCGAACGCATCGGTATATCAGCTGAAGAATGGCATCAAAGAGACGGACGGATCGGACAAATCGGGTGCCAATCGACTGAAGTTCATGTGCTCTTGGATTGGATGCGATCTCCGGTTTCGCGACAATTACGCCCTTAAGGCACACATACGGCTCCGACACACGAATGAGCGGCCATTCGCGTGCACCGATTGTCACAAGAGTTTTGCCGACAAAAAACACCTCAAAGAGCACCAGAAGATCCACAGCACCGGCGGTCAGATGTTTCGCTGCGAGTTCACGGACTGTCACTACGAGACCAGACGGGAGGCCAACCTCAAGGAACACGTGTTGCGCCACAAGAATATCCGGAACTACAAGTGCGACGAAAGCGGTTGCGACAAGAGTTTTGTCACCAATTATGAGCTCAAAGTGCATAAGAGTCACGTCCACAGCGAGGACCGGCCGTTCACATGCGATTGGCCCGGATGTGAGGCCACCTATAAGAGCAAACAGCGCTTGGATGACCACAAACTGTCCCATTTGGGGGTCCGGCAGTTCGCGTGCGACTTCCACGGCTGCGCCAAGAACTTCATCACCAAAAAGAAGTTGACTCAACACCGCAACGAACACATTAAGCCCTACGCCTGCAGTTGGCCCGAGTGTGGGGAGGC